TGCCTCCCTCCCCCAGTATTTCCAACTCCTGAGGAAAGCCTAGAAGAATCCGTTCTGTGCCTTGGTGGTTGTAGAGCTGGGTCCCAACTCTGCAACTCCTCACCTCTTGAGCTGGGCAAGGCCTGGGTTTCCTCATCTATAAAATGTGCATGTTAGCACCTTCTTATGGGATTGTTTTGAGAGTTAAATGAGTTATGTGTGCACAGTGAGTGCTCAGTGAATGTTAAGGGACTGTTGATATTATTTCAAAGGCGTGGGTTTTTTTCCCTTCAGGCTGGCTAGAGAGCAGCCCCACCCACTACCTGAAGACTCTTCCATACAGAGCAACTCCCTCGCCATTGTGGCTTGTGATCGGGTCTCAAAATCAACTAGTACGAGAGACCCTAGAGAGCCACCTGGGGAAAGCTCACTCTGTCCCTCCAATACACTAAGGGGACCCTGGCCGGAGAAGGTGTGAGTCTGAGGGGGCCCAGAAAGCGATACGCCAAAGTGAAAGCCTCCGAAGCAGCCTCAAGAGCAAAGTTTTCCTCTGACCTTTTCCTGCTCCTATCTCAGCCTCATTCTTCCCTGATGCAAACCAAGGTGGGGCACAGATATCTTCTAATCTTCTCCCCCTGCCTTTCTGTCTTGGAGCTGGCCCTGAAGAAATTCCCTGAGAAGAATCTGAACAGACAGGCCTTGCTGGGTTTCCCCACTCGGGCTCTCAGCATTAGAGCATGCTTCTGTAGTCCAGTCATATCTCTTCACGGCTGTGCCTGCTTCACAGGACCTAAGCGGAAAAATGGACGATTTTCCCTAGACCTTTGGGTCTTCATTCTGAAGGCTCCTGTGTCACTTAAAATGATGATATAATAAATTTGTTATGTCTTTTCTTCATATTAATCTGTGTTAGGTGATTTTTCAGAGAAGCTTCAGGGGGGTGAAGGGGATGTCTTCCCTTGGCCCCTATACTTCCACCCTGCAGCTGCCTGTGGAGTCCCACTGTGACCCATGACTTCTCCTCCCAGCTTTTTGCACCTGGCTCTTCTGCCCCTTCCAGCCTTGAAATGCTCTGCTCACATGCCCAGTAAATAGGGCTGCCACCACGGAGGTGATGGGGAGTGAAGAACTTAGGGTTCCATCCATCCACTGTGAAGCCCAACAGAGCAGACAGCTGTCGAGCAGGAGGAGAGGGGATCCAGAAGGGACAGGAAAGGGGCTCAGCACTGCTCCTGGGGTCCAGGGGCAGGCAGGTTACCAGGTGAGTGGAGGCATAAGCTCTTCGGAGCTATCTTGAGGGACCTTTCTTTCTGGACTGTTCCTCTGTGATATGGCTGTGCGTGCTGACGAGGAGGAAGGAGGGGACAGCTCACAGATCTTCCCTGTTCACTCAGGTGCTCACTTCCTCTTCCCAAAGAAGGATGGCCTATCTGGGACACTCTGGAGCTCCTTTCCCGGGAAACCACACAGCCTTTCTGCCCAGCTAACAGTGCCAGGAGTCCTGGGCTCGTAAATCACAGCAAAGTTCTCTCCCAGGCCCCTGATTCAGGTCCTCAAGGTCTGGCCTTCCATGAGAATACCCTGAAATACTAAAGCAACAGATTCCTGTGTCTTGATACAATATGTCTGGAGCAAAGGTTGAGACGTTTGTCTTTAGTAAGCCCTCCAGTCTCCTCCCTCCTCAGCTCCCAGGTGATTTGGAAGATCAGCTGTGTCTGGGATCTTGATTTAGCGCACACCCTGCCTGCCTTGGGATAGACCCTGTCTACTGTTGGAGAGAGATGAGTTGGGAGCTGGAGAGGGGCCGCCCTCCAGCTTTCCCCTTGCTGACTGGCTGGCTGGCTGACTGCTTAAGGAACTAGTATCATTTTGTTTTTCTCTGCCACAAGGACCCCTTCCCAATCTGAGTGGTTGGGATAATTTCAGAATGGCTTTAAAGAGAAATTTGTTCTGGCTGCGTGCAGAGGAAAAGAAAGAAAAAATAAAAACAAACACAAAAACCTACCCCCAGAGCTGTAATTAGGACCTCCAAGGCTTGGAAACTGGTCGCTTTCTTCTCTTTCTTTCCAAAAACCAAGTGGTTTGGACCAGTCAGACAGAGAAATTCAGAGCTGCTGGGAAGATACTGTGCAGGTTGGAAAGCCACTTTTTTTCTCCCTCCTACCCAATTAAGCTCTAAAGAACGAAGAAATGCTTCCAGCTCCTGCTCCTGCTCCTCTCCTACCCGCTTGGCCCGGACCTAGCACACATGATTTTCTTTGGCTCTGCCATCTCAGTGGGAGACGCACTTTCTCTTTGCTCTTGCAGCTGGGGAGGCGTGTGAGAGGGCGAGAGACAAGATGCAGTGTGTGTGTGTGTGTGTGTGTGTGTGTGTGTGCACGCAAGTGTGAGTGTCCGCGTGTGCGCGCGCGTGTGTGTGTGCACACAAGTGTGAGTGTCCGCTGATATCTAGTCACTCTGTGGTCTAGCTCTGCACATCAGCGAGTATGTGTGTGTGCACGCAAGTGTGAGTGTCCGCTGATATCTAGTCACTCTGTGGTCTAGCTCTGCACATCAGCGAGTAAGGTAAATGAACAGGGTGTCTTCGTTTTGTGCATGTGGATGGGGTGGGGGTGAAAATGCAGCCTCTGTGTGATGTGTTTGTGTGTGTGTGTCTTCGACAATATGTGACAATACGTGAAAGGTGCAGAGAAATGGGTTCTTGAGTCCAGTTTCTATGGAAACACCTGATCTGTAGAAATACTGTGTGCAGCAGAGCTCTCCATGCTACAACAAACATCAGTACCAAAAAAGTTTACATTTTGCAGCAGGTGAACATAGGGGTATAGGATGGTGAGGAGAAGAAATGAGGAAAGCTAATGTGAGCTCACTTGAGAGGAGAAAAAGGTCGAAGGACAGAAGGAGGCAGTGAGAACGTAGAGGCTAGATCAATAACCTCGCTTAGAGCAGGAGGAAACTTGCAGAGGAAGAGCTCTTCCAAGTCTCCTACCCGTCTCCCGCTCGGGCTTACCTGCACACACCTGCCTCTGCTCTCAGCTCTGGGTTTAGTCTCCTCTTCCGCCCCCACCCCTCAGTAGAGCGGTGGCAGCAGAGCCAGCTAGAAGTCCTGATCTCCAAGTGCTGCGCGCCTGCTTGTCTTTTCTTCCACCAGATCCTATTGGGGTGGGTTAGGTTAGGGGGAGGGAGGGAGGAGAGGGGAGAGGGAGGGAGCTTGGGAAAGGAGGGAGGACAACAATGAAGTCTTTATTTGGCAGCCAAAACTCCCAAAGACTTCATCCACACGCCATGCCCACTAACGGACTTGTTTTTAATAACATTTCCTTCTGCTGCTGCTGCTTCTGGAGAGGGATTGTTTGACCCGTGTTTGGAAAACAAGCCAAATTAACAGAGGGAAAAGGAATGAAAAGCAAGCTCTGTGCAGGCCAGGGCTGGATGGCTGGGTCCAGAAGGAGGCTCTTTAATTCCTCCCCAATTGCCTTGCTTCTGGTGCCTGTCACTCCCCTGCTGTTAAGTTCCCAAACCAGCGAGGGGTTTGGGATGCTTCCTCTGAGCACTGACAGTCCTTTCCTAAATTACCTTCTCCAGGAGGCGGCTAAGGGAGTGGAGTCTCACTGTACAGTGAACTGGCATAGGAGATAACTTTGGCTGCCAGAGGGCTGTTCTGAGGATCAGAGAGGGAAAAGTCTGGTCTGGGGCCACACAGCAAAGTTAAGGCAGAATTAAGATTTGATGTAAGACCTAGTCGCTGTCCCTAGCTCACGTAGACAACGTCCATGTCTTCTTTCAGCTTCTCTGCATCACAGTCAGGGGAGATTAGGAGGCTGTATGTTCATTACTCAGAGTGATAGGAAAATCCAAATTTCCCCTGTGCACGTCGACATCCCGTTCAGGTGACCCCATTACCTTTAACAATGCTCCTCAGTTATAAAAACACAACATGCTTGCAGTTAATGTTCATTACTCAGAGTGATAGGAAAATCCAAATTTCCCCTGTGCACGTCGACATCCCGTTCTGGTGACCCCATTACCTTTAACAATGCTCCTCAGTTATAAAAACACAACATGCTTGCAGTTAAGTAGCAGCCCCTCAAAACTTCCTGCCATCCCAGTTGACTACTTAGAAAACAATGAAATTTATTTCTCCATCATAGTTTCATCAAGAGCTGGAGAGCCCAGTGATAGAGGACTCTGCCACCCCTCTCCAGTCTGGGGTAAAAGAAAGAACATGACAATTAGGGTCAGCAGCCCTGGGCTCTGCCACTCACAAGCTATGTGATCGTGGGGAGTCTCAGCTTCCTCATTGATAAAATGGGGATAACATCTACCTCACAGGGTTGGGAAGGTTAACTGGTATCATAAAGGTGAACGCACTTTATAAATCAGGAAGATGTCAAGGTTTAGGACAGGGATTGTGGCAAACGGGAATCAGTCTAAGAGAGGGAGGAGGGAAAATAAAACCCGTACCTTCCTTCCCCACCCTCTTTCTACCTCAAAGAGTGCTGTCCACACCCTGTTGGTGATAACTTGCTGGAAGTCCACACAACTCCTCTGCACGTGTACATTAACCCCGGACATGCCAGGCCACTCATGCAGTCCTTTTCCATCCAGATGAGATATGGCTTATTCTGCAGGCTGAGAACATCAGGCCCTAGATTTGCTTGTTTCTCTTTGTGTGTTGGGTGGTAGGGAGAGTACAGGAAAGGTGAGCAAAGTACAGTGAGGTGCAGGGAGGATGGGCGGGCCATAAGGAGTGTGGGCAAGGGCAGGGGTGCCACCTCCATCCATTTGCATGGGATCATCCAAATCCTGAGAGTCTATGCTCCTGGGCATGGTGATGATCAACTTCCAAGCCCTTCCCAAGCCGGCACATCTCCTTTTCTCCTCTGTCATCTGCCCTCCTCCCCCTCTCATCTCCCCCTGTCCCAGAGAGAGTTGGAACGAAGGACAGAGATGGCTAGTGAGCTATTCAGGAACGTATAGGGTAGAGTTTTCTGACTGGTGGCCTGTGGACCTAATATGGCTTGAGGACCTAATATGTTTTTTTTGATAGGACATTAATTAAAAAAACACTTTTTATTATAAAAAATTTTAAATGTATGCATTTATACAGTTTAGTGTTAATAACCCCGTTACTTAACACCCAGCTCCAACACTGACCAACTTGTGGCCAATCTCGTTTCTTCTGTGCCCCCACTCCCACAAACCCTATTGGTGTATTTAGTCGGACTTGAATGCTTTTAGGCAGGACAAGCACTTCCAGTCTGCAGTCACTGTCCCTTCCTGCTATATTATCCTAGAGTCCAGGGCCTAGACTGCCCCACTCGGCTACTTACCTGCCTGTCCTTGCAGACACCTGAGTTCACAACCACTGGTCTAGAGGCAACTGCTGAGAAACGATAACGATTTGGGACAAATCAAGGACATGTGGGTGTCAGGTCATCTCCACCAACCTGCCATTCTCATCCCCTCGACAGAGGATAGAATGGCCTCCAGCTGGGCTCTTGAGACCCAGATTTGCCTCTGACATGCTGTGTGACTTGGGGATGTCCCTATCCCTCTCTGACCTCAGTTCATCGTTTGTAAAACACAAGGTTGTACAAAGTGACCTCTAAGTTCTCTTTCAACAATATTGTGAAGAGAGTCTGAGATTTGGAGTCAGTACACCTGGATTAAAATACCAGCTCTGCTAGTCTCTACCTACCTGGTTAATGTCTGAGCCTCAGTTTCCTCATCCATACTTGGAAGATAATAACCTTGCCCCACCTCCCTCCCAGGGTACACCCAGCATAACATGAGGATCATTGGAAGCAATGGCTATGAGAATATTTGTGATTCACTGACTTCATACAGCCAGACCCTGAGACTACGAGAGCCTCCCCTACTCCTCTAAAGTCTTGGGGACACCAGTGATATAACTTCACCCAGGGGAGGTATTTATCTCTTCCTGGTACGGCTGGAGGACGCTCATGAACACATGATGTGAATGCTGGGGCGAAGCTGCTGCTGCTGCTGCCGCCTGCTCCTAGGAGAGGGCTAGGGGCAGCATGGTTGGGGGGCAGAATGCAGAGACAGAAAAACACAGGGCGGGCCAGGCAGGGGAGGAAGGGGGCTCTCCAACGTGGTAGATTTCGACTGCACTTCCAGAGAGTCTGGACCTACCCACACTTCCCACCCAGGCTGAAATCCGTCCAGGGGGCTGTTTCTTTGCCCCTCACAGTAATGGCTGCCTTGGTTACAAGCAATGAGTGCTTAAAGCGAGAGTAAAAAGGGCATGATTGTGTGATATCCTTTCATGGAAATACAGAAGGGAGGTGGCTCGAGCTTCCCACCTCCCTGTGAGACTCTGCCGGGAAGGAGTAGTGTGGGCCTGAGGGGCTTTGGCTCAGACTGCCCAGTGACCATCAGGCCCCACAGAGGCTGGCCCTGAGCAGACCCTCACCCCTCACCACTTGAGGCTCCCAGCCTGGGGTGGCTGGGGGTCTGGGCAAATGCATGACAGGAGAGAAACTGTGGGAGTCCTGTGGTCGCTTATCCCACCAGCCAGCTTGGGGGGCCTGGGTTGCCTGGGGTGAGTGGGGCCCTGGTGGGCAGAGACAACATTCTGTTCATTATGCTATAACCCACAGCACCCACCAATGGCTTGGCACACCCTGGGTGCTCAGTGGGAGTCTGTTTCATCAAATTTAAGAGGGTTGAGCAAGGAGATTCTGTCACTCTCTTTTTAAAAAAAATATTGTTTGAATAGGTAATATGTTCTCTTGACTCAAAAGCCCAAAGGTATAGAAGGTTGCACAGGGCAAGGTCTCCTGCCCCATCACTCCGTTTCCTCCAGGAGACAACCAGTGTACCAGTTTCTTGTGTCCTGCCAGGTTTATTTAATGCACATACAAGCAGTAAATAAGCAACTGTCCACTTTTATTTTCACTTAGTCGTATATCTTGAGGATCACCCCGCCGTGGTACATAAGGTGCTCTCTCTCCCACTTCTGTAATTATTTGACCGGTCCCTCTTCATGGCCATTGGGCTCTTCGTTTTCAAGCGAGGCAGTGCTGGGCTTGGAATCTCACAGACTTGGTTCCAGTCCTGGCTCTGCCTCCTCTCCATGTTAACTAGGTGGCCTTGGGCTTCTCATGTGCCCTCTTTGAGCCTCAGTTTCCTCATTTGCTTGGGTCAGGTATTACTTGCAGTCCATCAACTCAGTGGTGAAGGAAATACAACTATATTCTATCATTTAACTTTCTTCTATAATTTCTGGACCAAGTGCTCATTTCAATGGGATGGTGGAAAACTCCAGCTCAGTCCCTCTTAATACCTCTGGATCCCCTCGGGGTTGGATAGCAGTTTGTGGAAAGTTTCTGTGGTGCTGGGGCCAGGTGGGTGGGGCGGGGGTGGGCATGCATGTGGCTCTTGGCTAATGACACTGCTGTACACAACCTTCACCCAGGCAGGGGACATTTCTTCCCCGAGGGAAGAAGTTTCCTTTCCCCTTTACTTCTGGCTAACATAATGTGTATATGCCCAGAAGTCCCCAAGGGCTTAGGCTTGGGGAAAATGCAGCCAAAGGCACTTGTAGGCTGTTTCCATTTCCTGCCCCTGCACAGACCTAGTCTGCTTGTTTCAACGAGAGGGAAGAGGCGCACAGATGGGGAAGGAAGACATAAAATGTATCTGTCAGCCACACAGCAAGCACAGTCGGACTGGAGGAGCCCTGAATCCCTTACCGCTCATTGTTCATGACTTGATTGTGGGCTGTCTGAGCAGTCCTGCTGGTAGACGGCTGTGTAGGACACC